CTCAGCACTGGCCAGCGTCGTTATGGCATCGAACAACCCCAAATCCACGAATGTATCAGTATCAAACAGCCTAAAGCGAGTTGCTAGAAGTCCCCAGAATCCTAAAGCATTCTCTTTTTTGTTTTAGATACCGGGGCCATTACCCGTCTTCGGCCGATAATCAATCTGAGAACTATTGAGAACTATTGAGAACTATTGAAGAAATTCAAGAGAATTAAAAAGAGGTTGAAGAACTATGAATGACTATTGATCTCTTTTTGAACGTTTAGAATCGCTAGACTCCCAAACAAAACTTTCTAAAACTATCCAACACTGTCTTATTCCTTGTCAAGCTCTCCCAGGCCTCAAACTCCCACCCTGCTAGGTTACAGAGCGACACGACTCGACCCGACTCTGGCCAGCGTCGTCCCAATAGTAACCCTTGGTTGTCCCTTGGAATGCCCACCCCAAAGCATCCCCAAATCTCTCTACTAGGCCTCACGCTCCTACAGTCAGCAGGTTACAGGGCGACACCCCAACACCGGCCAGCGTCGTTCTCGCATCGAACAACCACAGATCCATGAATGTATCAGTATCAAACAGCCTAAAGCGAGTTGCTAGAAGTCCCCAGAATCCTAAAGCATTCTCAGAAACACTTGTAAACAAACCTTTTTTTGAAGATATCTTTGAGATACCAGGGCTATTAAACGGCTTCGGCTTTTTTTTTTTTCCAAGAACACTGAAATTTTGTGTCCCCCAAAGCTCGGATCAAAGAAGCGTTCGGAAAAAAGCCACCTGCCTAAGGGCCTTTCAGCAGCCCAACCCTTACCTGCCTCACCCCTATATCTCGATGCCTACCAGGCCTCATGCCCCCAACTGCTAGGTTACAGAGTGGCACGACGCACCCCAGAATAACCCCCACCTGCTAGGCCATAGGGCAAAGCGACCCGCCCCGGCTCCGGCCAGCTCACCAAAAGACCCTAGAGTGCCTTCCATCCTCGACAACCCCTAGATCTCTTTACCAGGTCTCATGAGATAAGGCCTTCTGGATGATCAAAGACCGACTTCAAAAACCGCTCGAGTCCATCCAGGATATTCACAGCTGGTTCTGCAATGCCTTGCCTTTCTCTCTTGATTGTCACTCTTGAGCCGTCGACGGACATGGAGCCTGCCATCTTCACAGGTATAGAACGCCCGATCATTATCGTTGTATCTAGACTGAAGGTTTCCCCACTCTCCCACACACCACACACAAACCCTACACACTCACACTCACACCCGTGTTGGCTGAAGACCCTATTGATACCTACCAAGGGGATCAAGCTGACTATCTCAGCTGGTTAGCACCAAGGTGCCAAGGCCAATTGAACCCACAAACTCGTGAATGCCACCTGCGTGCCTAACCAACCAAGCTAGGCCGCTTGATCAGAGATGATGGAATTGGGTTAGGCCTTGGAAAAAAAAAGAAACCAGTCGTACTTCGTCCATCCATGTTCATCTGCATTCAAACTCAGGAAAACAACATCCAACTGAGAAAATCACTCGTCATGAGAGAACATGAGACCTCACACAGGCCAACCTGTACCCGACATGGCGAAGACGCGGGAAGATCATGAGATGGAGCAATGCCGCCGATGAGGGACGAAGACAGGGGAAGCAGGTCAACGACCTGTCGCCACTGCGGATAGACACAAATCATGCCCAGGCCTAGCTACCGTGCAAATGTGAATTGCCCCGAATAACAACGCTGAAATAGAAGGGCGTGGCGGCCAGAGGTTCGGTGTCTTTACTTGCTTTTACTTTATTTACTTACCTTTACTTGCAAAAAAGAGAAGGACAAGGGGTCGAGGGTTTAGGGGTTTGGGCTGCACCCCCAAAACCCCTGCATGCCAATATACCAAGAAGGCTCACGACAGATCAGGCGCTCAGCGGAGGAGTGACGAGGTACAGAAGGCTCACCGACACTCTCAGCTACAACTCAAATTCCCATGGCCTGTGGCAGACCCGAAGATAACTAACAATGTTTAACAGGTCGTGTTCCAAAGGGTGGGGGTAAGGGAACAGGAGGTTTGCTTGCCTACATGCACTAGGGACCACTCATAGGTGATAGCACCAGGCTCCAAGTTCAAAAGATGATAGCAGCCATGGGACTTTTTTTTTTTTACTTTATGCAGCCAGCCATGGGACTTCAGTATACTACCACCTAACTAAGGCTGTCATGTAGGCAACCAACTTAGGCTACTGGGTCATTGCGTACCTCCATCTGCCAAATTTCCTTCTCTGAGGGTGGACCATGCAGCTAGCAGTCGCTACAATCAGATGTCTGTACAAACAAGCAAGTAAGATGTTCAGGGGGACGCTGGACCCGTTTTCCAGCAGGTGCTGGTCCCCACCAATAGATGGAGCCTCCGTGAGAGTGACAATGGTGTCCGCTCCTATCAGCACCCCTAGCACCAGCTCGGGCTGTTCTTTGAAAGAAAAAAACAGAAAAACAAAAGAGAGAACACCAGCTTATCAAGTAGACTCTCTGACTACAGGGGCCTGTAGAAAATTGCATGAGCCTGGCGTCCAAAGTTCCCATACGGCAAGGAAGGTTCGTCCACTTCCGCTTCCACTAGTGCTGGGTACTGCCCAGCCCTGGTGCTTGTCACTGCTATTCGGTCCAAGTTGCCCTCGATACTGGTAGGGCGATGGTCCCGAGTGCTGGCCACACTGAGGTAGGATAGTAGGGATAGTTGGTGCGTTAGGAGTATTGATG